CCCGAGGTCCCGCTCCCGCGCAGCGCAGCCCCCCCCATGACCAGGGGTCGGGGCTGCTCCCCTGGCGGAGACGTGCTTTGGGGTGGGGGGGGTGTGCTGAGAAGCGGCGTTAAAGAGGGGGCAAAACCAGAGCAGGACACACACACACCGCCTACACCCCGCTGCTGCGTCCCCAGGGGAGCGGGGAAGCGCATCTCGCCGCGGCCACTGCGCTGTCGGGTGCGGGAATCCCGCGCAGCCCCCGCTTGGGTTACGCCACTGAACGTTTTCCGACGGGTTGGGGAGGAAAGTTGGGGAGCGCGGTGTGTCCAGTCCACATGCGACTGGACCCGGCCAAGCCGGCTCGGTGCCTCCCTGGTTCCCTCCGCCCAGCGGGGTGATGCTGGGCAGCAGCAAAATCCTCACACAAAAGTGCTACCAGCTCGACAACTTTCTCCAGAAGTTCTTTTGGCTCAGAAGCCGCGGCTGGGCTGTTGCAGCTAGAGAGGATGATTGGGTAACACCCACTCAAAAAATCCCCCTCGGTTTAGGGGCCCTTCAGTGCAGAACCTGATTTCAACCGCCTTGTGACTTGGTCAGCCTGCGCACCTTAAACACTCGTGTGTGTGGTGCCCAAACAGGGAAAGTCGTCGAGGAGTTATGCAAACATCATTTGCCTGGACACACAGACCTAAAACTGCATAATATTGGTATTCAAAACTCAGTATAACTTAACCTGATACTTGCTTAATAAAACATTTACTTTAGATACCATTAACTAAAAGGTTGCTAATACAGACTCCGTGTAATGCTTGCTTTGTAGAATCAGCTTGACAACAAAATCAATAAGCGGTGGTTGACTGAAATTAAATCAGCGTTGATCAATTTAATGTTACTTTATTTAAGCATAGCCCTACTGTACATTTTATATGTTGTATGCGATATTGATCAAGGGGATTTTCAAGGACTGTGGCTGCACATTGTGGTGGAACTCTCTATTTACATAATTCCAGACTCAGAAAACTTGAAAACAAGTTTTCTCTAGGATATGTACTTACTCCCCAGAAAATATTTTCCCACCATCCCCAGCAGGCTTTATGAGGGATGGCAGGCAAATTTGTAATTGATTAGAAAAACAGGTTTAAGTTTTTTAATTTTTTTTTTTAATGTTCCTAAAGCAACAGACATCTGAATGTTCTAATTGAGAAGCTAAGATGTCACAGTCAAGATCCAATTTTCCCAGCTCCGGGCATGTCCATCGCCCATTGAAAACATCGTTAATGCATTCTCACATAAATTATTGTTCGGCACAGGAAGCTGCAATACCTTTCCCCATTCATCGATATCTTTGCATACTCTGAAAGAAAAGGAAGCATTCCACTAAAAATGACAAATCAGAACACCTATTTCCAATGTCTGGAAGCACTTGTCAGAATTTATTCTTTTGGGGGATGAAAAGATAGCAGTCTATCAATAGCAGCCTTTTCTCTTAAATGAGCCACATTCTCCTAAAGTGGCCCACAACAGCCCAACTCCTCAATCTGAAAAAAGCAGAAGCATGTTTGGAATTAGGTGGGGGGGGGGGGGGAGGAATCAATTCTGTCATCATATTTAGGCTTCAAGAGATCTCAGTGGGCCCAGGGAGCCTTTCATAGCAGTTAGGCTGCTGAATGAGAGCATAATCTCTTTACAGTTTTTTCCTCCTCCTCTCAAAGTGGCTGGGATCTTTTCTGTGAGCCCTCCTGCACGTGAATGGTGTGGCTAATAAGCCTATTAATGAGGTTCCACAGTGGAGTGTGAATAGGTAAATAAGCCCCAATCTGTTGAGGTTCAGGAGCAAGGGCAGTAAAGCCATCATGAACTAAAGGTGACAGTTTGAACTGAAATAGGAACAACAGCTCCAGGTTTCAGGGGAAAGAATAGACAGACAAGGCACACATTCAGGCTCCTTCTACCCCCTACCGAGTCCTATTTTCTTTCCTATTCTTCCTCCTTTATAAAATGTCTTGAGTAGTCACCCATTTTTTCAAAAGCTCTTGAGACGTCCTTTTTCATCCTGGCAATGATACATCAATAGGGAGGAAGGAAAATGAGGACACCAATGCTCCTTTGCACCGCAACTTTCAAAAGCAGGAACAGTGCTGTCCCCCCTCACATATGGAAGCGGGGGAGGAGAAAGAAAGTTAAATTGAATCTTTCAGCCCTGCCAGCTCTTTGTCACTGCTGTCAGCTGGACCCTGGTCCCCCCTCTGCACGCAGGCAGGCATACAGTTAATGTTCAACAGGGGCATGGTGCAAGCGAGGGGCTCCACAGCTGGGATCAGCCAAATCTCTGTCGCAGAGCAGGCAGAGGTGAGGAGATGAATTCATCTCCACCCGGCATCTCTTTTACCTGGCAGGGAAAGGTGAAGATGTGCCTGACTTCAGGCTGCTCCTGGGCTGGATGCGCAAGAGCCCAGCTGAAGGGCTTTTAGAGATGAAGGTAGAAGGTTAAGCGGAAAACAAAGAGCTTCTGTCTACGGGGAGCTGAGGTGAGATAGGCAACCGATGCCTTTGAGTACTGTGGGAAAAGTCACCTTAGAAAAAAACATAACCCAGAACTTCTGAGCGCTCCTCAGTTCTATTCCTTACAGAGCCTCTGACATTTCTTTTAAGTGCTGGAGATACTAGTGTAATCAGGGCTCCAGGGGAACCGGCTCCTCCATGGGAGCCCAGCGAGGAACAAGCCCCAGCTCCTGCCACATCGCAGGCAGATGGCACGGGAGGCCACAGGGACCCGGGGCAAGCAAATCCTCCAGTACTCTATTCCCCAGGTGCTGGACTGCTGGCGTGTTACCTTTCTAGCTATCTGATGAAAATAGGAATATAATACAGAAAATTAAATAAATGTAAAAAAAAAAAAAATATAAAAAAAAAAAAGAAAACCCACACATTAAAGTTTTTGAGAACTATGGGGAAAGATCCTCTATATCCCAATTCAGCCACGCACATCACTGAGGGTCTAGCTTCTCCCCAGAAGACAATGGGAAGCAACATTTCTCCCCTGTTATTCAAGCTGTCCTGTCCAAAATTTTTTGCTTGACCATGCTGAATACAATTAAATACCCGTCCAAGATTTATCTTTTTTTTAAAAAAAGTTCTTCTAAAGCTGTCTAAACCCAAACTCTGGCAGCTAAAATATTTACCTGGTTTCCAAAGTATTTATGGCTCCTTTTCCTGGCAGCTTTGTACTTTTTTTCAGGGTGCCAAAGAAGCAAATCATAGGGACCCACTTCCGAAAACCTTTTTCTTTTCAAAGATAGGCCAAGCTGCTCTATATATTTGACAGCGTCTTAGGGAAAAGTCACCTCATATTCATATAAATGTGAACCCTTTCTAACATAAAAACTGCTTCTGAGAGACTTCCATCGCTCTTACTTCAGGACACTGCTAAACTGAAAAACTGAGATAAAAATTTCTTTATTTTAATGCCAGTAGATCCAGAAATTATACACAAAA